AGCTCATGGGTTTGATCCTGTATGGTCCACTCACCTAAGAGCTGACCTGATGATTCTTGTAGGACCAACTTGGAATATTCTGTGAATTTACAAGCACAGGTTGCACCATATGACTTAGAAACAATTATTTCTTTAAATGCAGAAGATGCTAGTACTGCAAGAAGCACATGTGGCAGACATGGAATACTCTAACAAATAAGTAAAAAAAGCATTTATTTCTGAGAAGTACTTTAGTACACAATTTTGTACATTTCAAATCAAGAATTCATTCTCCCAGCTTACAACTAAATAATTTTCCCTGTTATGAACTATAAATTACAAAATGTCCAAAAGACTATGATTAATTACAAAATACTTTGATAAATACTGCATGCACAATACTGCTGATATAATTAACAATTATTTTAGCTGAAGGAACCCAGTTATCAGCTAGTTCCTCTTACCATTGTTCAGAATATAGTATGCCTAAATTCTTTCCAATCTTTTCAATCACTCTTTCCAATAGCAGCTATGGCTGAAGCCACATAGAGATTACCTTTTACAATGGGGGTATGTAGCCATGTCGAACTTCCTGCTAAAAATAGTAAGTTTCCTGAAGTGCTTTATATACTGCAAAATTTAAATTCAAAATCAGAGTGCTGCATTAATTCAGCTTATTTACTCCTTTTAATGTCTTAGAACTTCCATGAGTACAAATATAAATTTAAAACCAATCATATGCATATTCAGCAGTTCAAGATTTCTCCTCTGAACTTATGCATGTTAACTGCCCTATTAGTTTTATTTGAACAACAACAACTGTTTAAGGAAAGATACTAACTTAATAATATTTTCACAAAATATACCTTTACCTTTATCTAGTTTTACTATCAACACTCATCACTTTTTTTTTAATGTATTTTATTACTGCTATTCCTTTTGTGAAATTTCATACTAGAATTAAAAAACTTATTTTCATATGATACTTAAAAACAAACAGATGAACATTACTTTTGGCCTTTACACGAAAAAGTTTTGTTGAAACAGCGTTCCTAATGACATGAATTGTTCAAGGGTGAGAAGTAGGAGTTAAACTAGAAGTACACAAGCACCAAAATGGAAAGCTAAAGTTTTCTGCTAGGCAACTGCAGAACTGTAGTAAATTCAAATTTCGCAAAATGCAGTTCACAGACTTTTTGATATGCATTTTCTTTAATAATATAGTTAAATACTGCATTATGAAAATGCCTATTTTCAGCAAAGGGAAGGTACATAACAGTTCTTTACATTTCCATTACATCGACTCTAGAAATGTGGCCAACCATGCCCCTCCTGCACAAAAAAAAACCCTTCAAAACACCAAAACAAAATTAACAATCCCTCCAAAAAGAACACTTTCATGGCTGCTGCTTTTATAGAAGCATAGTATGTATATCTTTAGGTTTTCTTTTACAAGGAAAGTCCTAAAAGCAGGAATATACATTTTTGTTTATCAGAAAAACAATGAGTCTACTATGCCCCCAGAGGTGTTTCCAAAAATACTTTATTTGCTTCAATAAATCAACAGTTCCAGAAAAGGCAGCTAAAGGACTGATTCTTTTGTTTACATTAACCTAAAATCCATTTGCCAGGCTGACACTATTACAAATCAGACATTATTGGGGATCACTGCAAATTCTTCAACGCATCTGACAAAGAACACTGCAAGAAAAGCCTGTAGTCTGGAATTTCAAATACAAAGTGCAAAGTTTCAGGCTAAAATTCTAACAGCCAAATTAGAACAAAGCATTAAAATGTAACCATTGCCTTTTTTCTTTCTTAAAAACAACCAACTGAAACAAACAACAACTGAAACACTATGGCTGTGTTAAAGAATTAGCAGACAGCAACACACTTTTTACGGGTAATAGTGTCTACATAACTGCACATTCTATCTATCCACCCTCAGCAAGAATTTCTGCTTCTGAGTTGATGGCAGTACCCAGAGAATCCAGCATAAACAGTCTGTTTCTAACCAAGTTTGGAAAGCCAATGTCAGTTATAAATTTAGCATTCCAGGTATCTTTATGTTGCATGGTATTAGTAAAATCTCAGCATCTATTGTGGATACAACAGAGAAAGCATGTCTAACCTTTGGAAGTTATTTCAAACCTGTATGGACACTTAAACATACACTTACAAAGTTAATCAGTAATCCCTGCCCTCACTTTACATTGTGTATTGGGGTTCATTAATTCCCTGGAACAAAGTCAGTTCTGGGGCACCAGCAGAAAAAGCTGCAATCTACTTTTTTCCCGCATTCACAACGAAAGACCACGAGCATTGTTTTTACTGCCTCTGGAATACTTAAATTCTTCCAAACCAGTCCTCTGAGCCACAAGCCAAGAATGACCTGACACAGATGTCAAAGATGGCACTGAGCTATAATGTGTCTACAGCACAAGGTGACTGCTGTGAGGCTGAGAACAGGAAAGCTCTGTCACTGAGGGAATAAACAGACTCAGGACTGCAAGAGCAACACTCAGTGCCTCCTGACAAGGCAGTAAGAACTGACCAGTGCTTGGGGACATCTTGCTGTCCCTGGGATTGGGCTTTAGTCCCACCAAGTTCTTAAGCAACATTCTCAGCTTTCAATTTGATAAAGAAAAGCACAATCTAGCAAACCTTCCCTTGTAAAAGATTGCAGTCGTGTTTCTGTGCTCAGCACTAACCCAATTTACCACCGAATACAACACAGGCAACTGTATCCCACCACCTGCAATTTAGTGTAGCCAGCTTTTAAACAAGACCCAAGTACATTACCAAAAAGAAAATGGGCTTTGTGCCACCAACTCAGATGAATTTTTAATGTGCTGTGAAAGAATTAAAGTCCATTTAAGTTGCGCAAATAATTTTCTGAAATGTAACAAAGTCCATACAAAAGGGTATGCAAGTGCGTATTTTAAAAGAAATAGCTACAACTGCAAACTACAATTGGATTTAATATCCATTTTGAAATTCTAAACTAAACACAATTAAAGAAAATATATTCTATGGATTGCTGTATTGCTGACTGCCTGTATTTTCCCCTCTTCTTCTACAGCAGAGTCAGTATAGTTGCAGATTGTTGTGTTTACATGCTTATACAAGCTTCAGTGATATTGGCAAGAATATTCTCAGTAGCGCAAATAAACTTCTTCAGCAATAGCTTGCTCACGTGTCAGCTATATTTAAAATAATGAAACAACATTGCAAACAGTTTTTAAATGAGACTCTGAAGCACATGGCATGCATAGCACAGTATAAATGCATGGTTAAGATGCCACACAATTTTCTGAAGTCTAACTTCCTACCTTTACTCTTACTACAGTCCCCCAAAGGAGGACTACAACTTCTCCAAAGTCCTACAAAGTTCAGAGATCCACTATAAAGCTTTTTGGCTCACTCCTCTGAGTTCTCTTAAGTAACTGCTGTGTCATTCACCCACAGGTGGACCAGGAACATTTTTAAACCTTCTGCGTAAAATGACCACCGAAATGCAAAATCCATAGGAGATGTTTCTAAAACACAGCAAAAAAGTAAAAAAGTACTTGACAGCCAAAGCAGCTCCAGTAACTATTCTGCTAAAAAGTCACTCTACACACTTCTAGTTTTCTTCCTTGGAAAACACTGCTTATGTTGCTCACAATCCTAGGTTTTCTTTTGTTTTCAAGACACAACAATTTTTCTTTAGAATAACAACTGTCTGGATCACAATGTCAAGCAAGCTTTGGCATTTCTCCTAATCTGCTGTAAACAAACACTGATCACGAAGTGAAAATGTTAACAAACTTATTACCAAGACAGTAAAAGTGAGCTGTTTCATCTAGTGAAAGATTTGGCAAAAATTTAAACAATATTGTTTTGCTTTGACACAGTTTAAGATTAATGCTTGTCACTTCCCTTTACGACTTTCAAGATTTGCCAGTCATAGATGTGGATAGTTTCATGGACTGAAAGGAGCGTTGGGATTTGTACCAAATCTATCCTTCAGACCACTGCACTGAGTCACCACATACCAGCTGCTCTCTGGGGACTGCACATATGGGGGCACTGCTGCAGCAGCACAAGCCAAACTCCTTCTCTTCCACGTGAAGGTGTGGTGGTGAAATACAAACTGGGGTGGGACCTAGAGGCAGGAGAGGAAAGCAGAAAAGGGAAGGAATTGGTTTGAGGGACAGTAGAGAATGAGAAGGAATTCACAGTTACATTCTTCAGAATGCAGGGAAACAAGGAAGAAAGCAAATTTCAGTTAAAAAAAAATTAAGAGCATGTTTTAAAACATTACTTGAAATTCTGTTTCAACTACTCCAAAAACCAGTACTGGAGAACTGCAAGAGTTTTCTCATGGACTTGTTAAGAAACAACGTTGGAAGGATTTCCTGGTTTCTTATCTGATCCCACTGTAAATTCTGGTAATCTGTTTCATCTCTGTGCATCCACTGAATAGGCAACTGAGGCAGGGTAGTCTGAAGCATTCATTTCTGCAGTAGACAACATGAAAGCACGGAATGGAGAGGTTACAGGGAAAAAAGGCATGCTGATGAGCACTTAAAAATTTTTTTTAGGACAAAGAAATAACTCCTAAACACAGATGACTGCCTTACTACATGAATGAATTCTACTGCTGGCAGTGACAGAAGCACAAAGAAAGATTTACTTAAATTAATTCACTTCGTGATTACAATAAAAACTAACACAATTTACCTCTACAAATAATTTCCTTAGGATTTATACCTACTGAAAAACAGATGTAGCAAGACTGGAGTAATGGACACCTTGCAATATCCTCCTAGCTTTAAGATGACATGTAGTTTATCTGCAGCTTTCTTCTTCATATATGGAACAAGCCTCTCTGCAGGCAGCCATTACTTGCACTGAACTATGTTCATCAGGTAAAAAATAAAAGTGGCATGGAAGTTACCTTTTAGCTGACAACACACACGGAGGATACATAATCCAATGAAATATTTAAAACACAGCACACTGTATTACACATGTAATTTGTTTTTCATTTCAAGTTTATTAAAACTTTAGCAGTACAAATGATCCAGGTTTTAGATTATCAAAAGACCAAACTGAAGTCCACATCTTTAAAAAAGGCGTTCCCCAAAACGTCTCTAAAACTTTGAGACAATGGAAACATTAAGTCCACAAACTCATCCATGCCTGTCATCATCTGTTCCAGGACTTGTTTCACGATCAGACTTTTTATCCTTACTAGGGGCATGATCTCTCTCCTGACTCTTTGATTTTTGGTTTATTTCTTTTTCTGATGAGGATCTGGTCTTTTCCTTTTCTTTACTGCTGCGTGAGTGTGATTTTTTTTCTTCTCTCTCTTTGCTACTTGGTCTCTTTTTTGAGTCTGGACTTCTATCCTGATCTCTACTAGACTTCTTATCTCTGCCAGATTCAGGACTACTACTTTCACGGCTTTTTGAACGCCTCTTCCTTTGGCTTTCACTATCATTCCTCTTATATGAGCTTCTACTTTCCCTATTTGAATATCTCTCTCTGTTTCTGCTTTGACTTTCATCCCTCTCTGAACTCCTTGATTCTCTCCTCCTCCTATTTTCTCTTCCTCTGTATTTATCTGGTGTACCTCTCCTTTCTCTGCTTCTTGATCTTCCTCTCCTTCTTGTTTCTCTATCTCTATTCCTTGAATAGTCCTTACTCCGACTGCGATCCCTGTCCCTGCTCCTCGATCTTCCTCTCCTACCCCTATCTCTGCTTTTGCTTCGATCCCTTGTTCTGCTGCTGGAGCTGTGTTTTCCTCTAGCATGCTCACGCTCTTTGCTTCTTGACTTGCGTTTCTCCCTGTCTTTGCTCTTCCTATGCTCTTGTTCATTATTTCTTGAGCCTGCTCTTTTACTTCTCTCCTTGCTCCTACTTCTTTCTTTCTCTCTCCCTCTAGAATCATAGTGCTTTTCTTTTTCTCTACCTTTCTCATGGTCTCTCTCTTTGCTTCTTGATCTTAATCTCTTTTCGTCATGTCTGCTGTGCCTGGAATCTCTTTCTTTACTTTTTGATTTCTCTCTGCTTTTACTATGGCTTCTAGATTTAGCTCTCTTCTTGGCTTTGCTTTTGTTATGCTTGTCATCTTTTTCTGAATTTCTTCTTGTCTCTCTGTCTTTACTGCTGGATTTGTGATCTTTTTTCTTCTCTTTTTCCCCTCTTCGGCTTGGACTTTCAGAAACTTGCCTGTGGTCTGATATTCTTCTCTCTCTACCTCTTCCTGGGCTCTTTTGATTATCTTTCTTGGTTTCATTTATTTCACTCCTTGGAGAGAAAAGATACAAGTTTAAAAAACTTTTCATTTTCCTCCACTCTGAAAAATTAAACCCGAAGTGAGACAGGTTCACAACTAAAACTTCACATCAGCTAATTTTTATTAATAACTACGTATTTGCAGTACCATGGTTAAACTCACACACAATTAAATAATGGAATAATCAAGTCAGAACCCTGTCTTCTTAAATGCAATTGTATTGAAAATCCAAGATAATAGGTATTACTTTTAAATAAACAACCAAAAAAAATTAAAAACTAAAAATTTTAAAAAATCCCATATGCACATGCTCCAGAAAGAAATAGTCTTACTTGTCGCCTTTTATCCACCTTTCTCCACTAGACACTCTCATTCTTTGAGCTCTTTGCATTTCTTGCCTCCAATGTGGAGGAGTTTCACTGCGCCGGAATCGATCTCTTGACCTGGATCTGGAAGGCGTCCGGTAGCGCTTGGAGGAAAAAAGAGAAAATCATGTCTTAGTTTGAATTTCACATGCTGTGACATCTACGCAAGATTTTCACCCCGGCACTGGGTTCCTACATAGCACCTAACATGATACTTCACATGTATACACCAAGTTTCCACTGACAAGTTATTAACGTACTGAAAATGTATCTGACATTTAACTATAGAGGGAATACAAAATCTGATCAAATAACTGATTTTAAGGTAAGGTCTACATCAGGAATTTTGCAGTCTGATGAGAGGCTTTCTGCTACTTTTAATTTGCACAAATGTTTGTTTACTAACAATGAAGATTCTTATCTTTGACAGGCAAGCAAAAACAATACTTCACACTGGTTAAGAATTTTACTAAAAATTTGAGGGATAGAGACTTCAGTTATTAAAAACATTTGCTACATGCAGCACATACCATATGGCTTCACAATATTGAAAGAGCCAATTTGACAGCTACCCCCTGCCAAAACGGGAAAAAGTCTTCCCCACCCTCTTGGCACGGATGTTACTGGTTCTGTGTTCACCAGAACCCTTCTTGAGCTAGTTCCATTCACCAATTTAAATATTACCATATTAACTTAAAGTATTTTAATGCTTTTTTCTCACCACCTTCTTCTCTTTTCTGTCCTCCTTCAAGCCTCAGTCCTCAAATAAATTACGATGCACTTCCTTTTTAAAAATAACTATCCCGATGAATATGATCAGTACCACCAGCAGTGAGACTGTGCTACCACCTTGCTTATTTTGAAGAACAGATTACAAACATTTACCCTTGGTCCTCTTCCTTTTATTTTCCTTCCAGATCTGGTGACTAACAGTCTTCTCTGGTATGTTGACTGTGAGTTTGATAGATTACTAAAAATAATTTAAAAATAATGAAAACCAGTATTAAAACCTTTTCAGGAACTAAATAAAAACACACCATTTTATTTTTCAGCAGACAGTAACATCCACACAGTAAAACCTCCATCTGTGACCACAATAATTTTACAAGATTTCCAGGTTTTTCAATTTTTGAAGAAAGAATAAATAAATAAAATTAAAAAAGGACTGAGACTGGACAGTTCCAAGGCATGCTAAATGAAATTAAGCCTGTCATTATACATTCTTTACTCACTAAAACCATTTTCAAAGACTAAGCCTTTGTTCTAGGATGAAGACAACAGTTTCCAATAAACGGAGAAATCTATTTTCCATCCAGCAGTGCTTACAACATGGAACTGTTCAATATGGAAAAGATTCAACATTAGAGTTCTAAAACAGTAACGTGACCATACCACTGCCAGCACATAATCAGACTTAAACCAGATATATTACCTCTCTCTTTCCTTCTCTCTGCTTTTTCTCTCTTTTTCTTTCTCATCTACTTTAGGAGGACTTTTCCTCATCAGGAACCGGTTTTCAGGTATAGGAGGAATTTCTTCAGGACGGACAGTAGATAATGGCTGTGCTTCAGTATTTTCATCTTCACTTTCACTGGATGAGCTTTATTTTTGTATAGAAAATATGCATGAGTTATTTGGATGAGGGAAGACCCATCTATTTAAATAATTCAGAAATTCCCTTAATTCAATACACAACAATATCACAAGAATCTCAGAAAACAGAGCTATTTTAGAAACAACTTTCCCACCCCATGATATATTTGTTCCAAAGTATATAACAGCAGTAGATTTCTGACCAACACTTTTTCTCCACTAATTACAACGGTGCAACACCAAACATATACACACTGTCTATTTAGACGCAACTTTTTAGTTCTAATTATTTTCTGTTAAAAACAATCTCAAGAGACTAAAAATTCAGATTTTACACTAGCATATATAACTGTCTACAGACTATACTAATTTCAAGCAATTTACAAACTTCTGTGAAAAGGGCTTAGGTGCACAGAAACAGTATTTAGGCAGCACTGCCCTAAGTGAACATTTCTTAAATTTCACTGCCATCTTAGAAAAATGTGACTTGCACTGTGTCCTGGGGTGAGTTTATGAGGCCTGTATGCCCAGTCATCTGCTCTGTTTATGCTGGATATCAGGTTCTGCACCTTAAAGACTGGTTCTGAGAGCAAAGTGGGGGAGAAGCAGCTCAGAATTTGTTATCAGGAGCTGCACTTGCTCCCCTGCATCCTACTCCTGGACTGTGCTGTCTGCATCACAGACAGTGAGAGAGAGCTCTCCTGTGCTTTTAGTCAGTTTTTAGCTAGCTGAGGCAGTGAATTTCCTTGGACTGCAATGTTTCATTTTCTTGGAACTGCTCAAACCTACTCTGGACTGAAAACCCAGAAGAGCACCAGGAGCTCACACCTGTGGCCACCAGGGCTTGGGACCCTGCATTCCAGCACCAGAGGGACTGATAACAGACTGAGTGAGCCAAGTTACAGCCCATGACAAGGCCTTTCTGAATCTGCCGTCTCTTTAGAACAGCGAGAAGTCTTACTGTTTAATATTATTCATTTTTTATGCTTGTGAATACTTTGCTTTTTAAAGAAACATTTTTTTCCACTTTTCTCCAAGAAAATCTTTTCCTAAACCAGTTGGGAGAAGGGCCACTTGAATCTGCTTTTCTAGAAGGACCCCTTTAGGAGTTTCCTCCCAAATTTGCCTTAAACCAGGACAAACTGACACTACTTTTATCTCACACTGAACTATAACAAAATTATTAGATTCAAAATAACATTCTCAGAAGCAAGGCTGCTTTCTCAGTTTTATTATCTTCCAGTGAAACTGCAAGAGTCTTGGCATATCAGACAAAAAAAATTATGTTAATTTACTAATTTTATATTTATTTTTGCTATATTCCTGCATACTACATTTTTTCTAAGTTCCATTGCATATGGTTCAAACTGAATTGTACAGAAGTAAATTTATGGCAACGAACTATTCCTACCCATTTCCAACCTACCACTCCAAATTTTCAAGACAACTGAAGTCTTAGTCCATTTGTTTACTCCTTTACATGCTGCAGTACATAGGCACATGAACATGACCCTTCATGATCATATCAGAAAATGTCTTCTTGTACATGGAAACCAATGATCTCCTAGACTGTGAAACCTGCATTGCTAGTTTACACAAATGTAGACTGTAGCTATTAAGACAAGAGAATGGTACTGTATGGTGTACATGTAACAAAACAAATCTCAAAACTGACCTTTTTTTGCTTTTCTTTCTCTTTTTCTTTTCTCTCTTATGTTTCTTGGAATTTCTTTTGTGTTTCTTTTTTCGTTTTTTAGATTTCTCTTCTGAAGCACTCTCAGAATCCGACGATGAATCAGAAGACGATTCTGAATCGCTTGAACTTTCCGAGTCACTGGATGAGGAAGATGACTTGTGTCTCTTCTTTTCTTCTTTCTTAGCTTTAGATCAGAATAGCAAAGACACAATTTAATATCAAACACTTCTAAACTAATCTCAGAAAAATCACCCATCTTGTATCTGTCGCTGTATCTTGTATCCTGGTATGGACCAGACTATCTTGTATCTCTCAGATTCTTATAATTGTATCATGAGATTACTTCATCAAAATACTTAAGAAAAAATTGACATTTAGGAAAAACATTGTTTCTCCATAGTACAATAAATGATATGTCTAGAAAAACAAGACATTTTCATAATTTGGATTTATGAAACTTTAAGTCTAGAATTTATACTGTCAAGCACTTGCAGAACCATCTAAGTTTTCTGATGATGTTTTATACAACATAAGCAACATACAAAGAATTCTTTAAAACTTATTTACACGTGTTTATAAAAATAATTCTTTAGCTTCAGGTTTCACCTGACTTCATTAAATCACTAATAAGAGAAATTTTGAAGCAGAAAATAAGAGGCACAGATTAAACCAAGTACTCACTGAATTTAGCTCACTATCCTAATTTGTTGGGTCTTACATTCAGAAAGCAGTGATACAGAGAGTGGTGAAAGGTCTCCTCTTTACAGTGATGTAGCACACTCACTTCCAATTCAACAGGCTGAGAACACTTCTAACAACAAGCTAGCTAGAGCTTAATTCACAGAACTGCATCAGATGTGTGGCATGTACCCCAACAGAAACAATCCTGGCCTACTTTTATAGTAATACACTTTATAGATACCTTTCTTCATGTTACATCATTAACAAATCTCCACACTGGTAGTGTGGATGAAATTCAACCCCATTGCACTAAATCTCATTTATTTTTCAGCTTAGCATCACAGACACAAGTCATAGCTGTGTGACAACTGAGATGAGCTCAGCTGGTCAGAGCACCAAGGTTTGACCCTGGTATGGACCAGACCATTCACTTGGTCCATAATTCACACTCCGTAAGAGCTGGACTTGATGATTCCTGTGTGCCCCTTCCAACTCAGAATACACTGTAATTCTGTGACTTACACAGGGGGTTTTCCATGTGTTTATTCACAAGCCTCGCTTGATACAGACTAACAAAAGCCTGACAACCCACTGAAAAACTTCCACCCTTGACAGAGTATATTGGCCTTCCAGTCCCTTCCACGTGCAGTATAAACTAGCAAGTACTCTTACCAGTTTAGGACAGCCTGCTGACTGGAATCAGCTCATTCTCATCAGAAGATTTTAGAGCTTCTTGCAAAATGCTTCCAAAACACAATTCTCTATGATTCTGATTTTTCTTGTATGTCTAGACCAAGATAACTGCTCTCTGTTCTCAAACTTTTGCTCAACATCCTTATTTTAGTACTATATTTAATAAAAATTCTCTGCAATATTGTGTATCAGTTTTAGATTGCCTAAATACATATGTATTTACAGAATGTAATGAGTACATATTTATAAAAGAAAAATGAACATTTTTCTAAATAATGTCAATCAAAGGATCTAGGTGTAGGCCAGGTGGCAATGAAACAAACAAGAATCTCACCTCACCTCTAAATACTATGAATACAAAAATGTATTAAAAAAGTTAAATGTTTCTGATCTATTACACCCTCAGTTTTGGTCCATTCAAAGGGGAAAAATCCTCATACGGCACTACAATGTTTCTTACATGCTTTCATAATTATTTCATTATTAAATGCAGTGATTTCCTGTATTTTCTTCCTCCTGCATATGTTTTAAGTGTGTCCAAATGTGTGACAGTTTTGTCTGCATTGTTGTAACAAGTTCAGGTATGTTAAAGTTACTACTTTAAAGTGAGTAAGTAATAAATAGAACTGGAGGCAAGTTAGTGAGCTGCTGCTACAACAAATATGTGATTCTTAACGTGCAGCAAGCTGCCAGTGGGAGATGTATCTAGGAAATCCTATGGCAGCTAGGGAGTAAAATGACATGGGGGAAAAAAGCCCCAAACAACAAACGAAACTAAAAAGCCCACAACTAGTTATACAGCAAAGACAGAGAATCTGGCAAGAGGGTTTGGATGTACTTTCTGGTGATATCTAACTATCTCTGTCCAGCAGCAAATGCTGTTTTGAGTACTGAACCAACCTGGTACTGTACAACTACAGATTACAACAAATGAGATCAATCCTAGAACATGAAGGTCATCAAGAAACAGACTTATGTGTACAGTTCAAATGTTTCAGCTCATCACCTTCAGGAGCAGCTTTCAACTCATGACCACGTACATCAACTCATGAAACATACATCAGTTCCTACTCCGTTCATTCTGACCTACAGTATTTGTCAGACTTTGTGATCACGCTGCATGACACAGACAAGTACTCTCTGCATCTCAGCTGGTCAGGAACTGTAGTAAGTCTTACATTAGCCCCATGGCTTGAAATTAAGAAGTGACCAGACCAGAAAACAGTTGGATTCAGGCATAAAAGTCATAACAAAACATACCATGTTGTAATTCACAGCAGTGACATGCCAATAGTTACTTTATAGCAAATCAAATAACCTTATAAATTATGAATGCAGCCATAATCTACCTTAATTGCAGAAAGCACACTCTTACAAGCACTGATTCTACAGGGAGATCTGTGACATCAATGAAAGTCATGAATCAAGTCTAGCACTGCTCCGTGCAGAATGCCCTAGAAATTCACTTTTCATGAGAAATTTTCACTAGAAAGCATCTTGGCTTTCTGCTGATGAGATTCTCCATGGTGACAGGAACATCTTAGATTCTGCTTCTGTTAGAAAATAAGGCTTGATCCAAGCTCTCATACTATGTTCTATTCTGCAATGGCAGAGCAGGACATCCCTTCCAGAAATAAAGACAGGTTCTGTCATATTCCTCTTTAAGAATTGTTTATAGGAACCTATAAAGTGTATGCGCTAAAGGGCCAAATCTAGACTTTTACAATCTAAGTGCCTGTTTTGAAGAGTTACCTTAGAGCAACATGAAACAAGTTCAATACCTTCCAAAGAAGTATGAATTATCAAATGAAGTCAGACTGCCACCAATCTTCTTAGCACTCTACTGGATATCACAAGTGCTTGCCAGCTTTGTACTAAAATGTAGTGAGTGTAAGAAAATTCAAGACAGGAGAAGCTTTGAAAAAAAGTACATATGAGTGTTCTTTAATGTCTTTTGCATCAACAACTTTTAAGCTCTGTAGAAAACAGACTGCTCTGCAATGTTATACACCTTTTCACCAACCATGCCATCATCTATTACAAGTTTCTAAATATTTTTATAAGCAGCCAGCATGGAAGAAAACAAGCAAAATTACCTCATATATACAGTTCAAGTTTACCTTTGGATTTTGGAATTAACTCTCCACAACTCAGTATGCGTACTTCAGCATATGGTTTACTAGATGCATCTGTTTTCTGGTTTTCTATTTCTCTCACAACTTCCTGCCCTGAGATGACTTGTCCAAAAACAACATGATGCCTGAAGAACATAAACAAAAGTAAGTATTCTTTGCACTTAACTTTCTCAAGGCAGCTCGCAAAGAAATGCAAGAAGAAAAGAAGAGATATTTACCCATCCAAATGAGGTGTAGGTTTAGTTGTTCTGTTGTTTCCAGATTTTAATTTAAAGAGAAAAACAAAATCAGTATTAGTGAAAAGCAGGCAGCATTCAAATCATATAATCTACACACAAGAAGGTGAACATTATTTTGAGTACACTAATAAAATTGAACAAAACCAAGACATATCAGTCTATGTTTGTGTGCAGTTAGCAGTATTTAATGTTTATGTTAAACTACCTATTCAATGAAACACTTTATTACATTTTACTGAAAAAAACCCCAAAATTGCACATAAATTTTTAGACAGAATCCTCATATAAGATATAATAAGTTTCTGCTTATTGAATTATATAAACACTACCAGGAACAGATACAAAAATCTGCAGGAAAAATGCAAATAACCTTTTACACATTAGAAAATAACCAGAAAACTGGAAGAAAAAGTATCTGCATGTAGAGATTACTTGACACAGAAGCAGAACTGACTCTCTCTCAGCTTTCCCCCATACCAGCATTACTAAGGCATACATGTCAGTTATGGAAGAGTAGAAAACTGAGATGATTAGAATAATGATCATTTAGGAATCCCAAAATAAGGTTTTAATGCTGACATCCACAACTTGTTATGTTAACTAAGGCCTTGAAACACGGGTAAGAGTAGAGTGATGTATTTTGAGAATATTTTCTCTACGTAATTTAGAATTTAGAAGAGTCTACTGCAATGTATTTTCAGAATTTAAGATTTACCTATAAGTAAGACTGTACTGGAAAGCTATTTTGTGATTAGAAAAAGCCCTCTACTACTTTGGAGAACCCCTAGAGCTGTTCTGCCGCCTTCCTGAAAACAATTTATTAGAGCATTTACTAAGAATTTTACAAGAAACTAACAGGTTTGCTTTTTTGTCCAAATTAGAACACAGTTACTGAAACTACTGAAAGCCCTTTTGCACTGAAAATTAAATACAAATAAGCACATTAGGGGTAAAAATAAGTACATTAGGAAAATGGCTACTTCCAGGGAGCCTGGTAAAAAACCATCAACTTTGCTTTGTTGGAACTAGTCTTCAACATCTAAAAGGATTCCCTTTACAGCTTACAAATAGCAAACCATATACACATTTCAAGACATTTCAATACTTACATAAAGAACTGTGAACCATTTGTATCTTTCCCTCGGTTGGCCATTGAAAGGAGAAATTCTTTGTTGTGCTTTACAGCAAAACTTTCATCTAAAGAAAGTGTTTTCAGTTACTTTTTAAGCATACGATATATGCTTAGGTAAATGCTATCGTCTAAGTAAATTAATCCTAATTAAATAAATCTGTTAGTCACTTGAATGAAAAGTTGTATTAAAAATAGACTAAAAATAGCAGCTCTTTTTAAAACATCATTCTGTTCATTCTATGTAACAAGGAGAAATATGAATAGAATGGTTTATAGCCTGAGAGGAAAAAAAAAAATTAAAAATTTAGTATTCTTGTACAAAAGATCTGTCTCCTACGAACGTTAGTAGAGATGTTTAAATTGTTGCTCTGTTTTTCTCTGGAACAGAAGCTGTGTATTAACTTTTAATAAATCCCTAATCTTCAGGCATTTTGTTGCTCTGGTGTTTGTTTTTGTTTGGTTTTTTTTGTTGTTTTTTTTTTTTAGTACACACAGATAGTTTGATAGCAATCCCAAACAACTTGTTTGTCTGACAGACAGAGATAAATTTATCAATTTAGCCATTAAGAAAATGAGTTTAACTTCAATGAATCCTACTTCTTATGAGCAAGGAATTGTTAATAGTTCAAACTAAATCCCAACAAAACTATGAAATGAAGAAGGTGTAAAATGTAATCACTATTCTTCATTTAAGACACCTGTAAGAAATCATCCTCTCCCTTCTTTCCCAAAACAGCAAAAAGGCTTTTGGGGGAAGGAAATTCTGCAGACATGAGGACATTTGTTCAATACTGTTTGGATACAGATGGCAAGAGGAAGTATTAACAAAGAAAATGTACAATATTCATAATGCTACTGTCACTCGCCATGAAAGGGATGGTCCCACTCACTCTCCAATCACTTGTACAATAGCATCAAATGTCAATCTAATCCTATGATGCACTGGTTAATTGATTCACAAACGCAAAACTTTTCACAAATTCAGTTCCATACTGTGACCAGCCAAGTTGAACAGCCAGCCCGCTACTGTCAGAAGATAAGTGGAGGTTGTGCTCATTTTTCCATTTCTCCCAGCCATACATTTCCTCAAATTCACTAACATGGGAATATTTTTTTTTCTGCAATAATCTTTAGGCATTTTAGCAAGCTGAATCAGGCTAAAGTTTGATCAGAGAGTCAGTGCAAGGTAAGGCCTCCTCCCCCTTTTGGCAGTTGCAAACTGTTGATTCCACTCAAGGCCTGATATAAATTTGCAGCCTGGCCCAACTACAGCAGTGAATAATTATTGTGTGGGCTGCAAGCTTGGACAACAACCAATGGCAAAAAAAAAAGTATCCAGGAGGGGAGAGGGGCTTAACCTTGCCTGGGTGGCAGCTACACAGCACCTGGGCTTAGGTGTAACAAAACAACTGCTCCAATAAACACAGATGTTCCACTACATTCTGGACAAACACAGGCTGAGAAACACAGCAAGTGTAACCTCTTCTGCAACACTGGCTGAGAAAGAACCAGGACTGTGAGAAAACTAAAAGCTCCATCTTCAGTTCAGGAAAGCAGGGCTCTTTGCAAGGAAACCCAACTCCATCAACACCTTTCCCCTTTTCCCTCAAAGGGAAGACCATCTCCAGCTTTTAAGCTGAGCAAGCAAAAACTAGATGTCTAAAACCAGCAATAAAAATGTAAGTCCGGTAAAAGGGACAAATACAAAGGAGTTCAGTTTTAGTTTTTCATTTGTTAAAATGGTTCACATCTTAAAAGTAAAATAACTTAAATGGTACAGTCAAAGGCCTTCAAGACCAGACAAAATCTTCTTAAAAAACGGAATTCAGGTTTACAGAACACATACTACAGAACGTGAAGGTGACTGTTTATTTTAACACCAAAATAGAACAGACTGATAGAATTCTTACCTTCAAAAAAGCCACCATAAATGGATTCTCCTCCTCGGCCATTTCCTTAAAAGAGGAGAAGTGACAGTTAAAGTACTGATTAAAAGAGTTACATTATGTGGAAGGTACTTCATAATACTGATGTAACTGTGTCCAAGTCACTGACATTATTCTTCAAGATATGCAAACACAATCAAGATGCATCTTTGTAATCCAAAACCAAAAAACTTGGAAAACAAGAAAGTATTCTCCCATGTATTCAGCAACAGTCTCCTTTTTTCCTTTATTTCCCAGCAGCAGATAAAATATTTTATTCTCACGCTTCAACCTTTCAATAGCAGGTTTTTAGTTCTTGGAATAATTGAGACAACTTGAGCAAAAGTGTGTGAATGCACATACATAAGTTTATTATGCAAGTTCTCATGGAAAGGTTCTCACACAGAAGGGTAAAAAGCAGTGATGTCTGTCAGAGAATAATTAAGTAAATAGTTCTATATAGAACTTTTGCAATGTTTTATTACGTAAGCAGCAAATTTTCTTTAAAGATTTATGTCATACCTTCACTGAAGTCACCTCCTTGGATCATAAAATCTTTCACAACCCTGTGAAACAGACAACTTTTGTAATGCAATGGCTTTTGGGTGGACTTTCCTGTACCCTTTTCACCTAAAGAAGAGAATGTACAAAACCAAAAATTACTCTCTGCATCTGTAGAATCTTCATTACAAAAACAGTTCTATGTAAAGCACTCAACCAAAATCATCTGTGCTCTGAAAAACTGGCTTGTGAGGCAGACACTTACCTGTAATACCAGTAAGAAACTGGGATTTAAGAAAGCAGTTCAGAAACTACTTTCTGTCTCTACAGTTATACTAGAAGAACTCCTTACTGACACTAGTATACAACTCTGGCCACTGCCAAGCAGATTGACTGAAGCTAAACATCCAGTTTACATTCATGACAACTGGTATGGCTCAGAAATGTGCAAGAAACAATCACACCTGTAGTTAAAACACAGCAAGGTTAAGGTACCATAAAAACTTGTAAGAAAGCCAGAGGCAGGGGGAAGGAGGAGGACTCTCATTCCCTCCCCTGCTCATGATGACAACTGCCATCTTCCTCCCTTGCATCAGCTCTGCTGTTTAAGCAAACTCTGCTTCAACTACAACACAAAGGCCTCTCCCTGCTCAGAGAGAGGATTTCTGCTGAGTTAGCAGGATGAATGGCTCGTGGTGGGTCCTGTGAAGGTAACAGTAAGGTAATCAATGGGGTAATCAATGGGACTTCTCAGGGAAGACCACTTCCTCTTCATATTGGCAAACTGTTAGACAGCATCTTCCTATAATCTTATTCTGAGCAATTAAACTGGCAGCTTTTGTCAAGGGCAGTTGACTCTGAACTTACAGACTGGTGTCTCCATATGGATTTGAACAGCTAGAAAAAACCCCACTTTTGAGAGGAACTCTGATAAATGTGAAGCTGTGTATGTTCCACTAACTTGGCATATGCCAGGAAAACATGGAGCTGTTGATCCCTGTTTTATGAAGACAGCACACACTTTTCAAAACTTCCAGAAAGAAAGATGAGTAAGGAAAACAGAAATTAAAAGTCTGAATAATTTGCTGATTATCAATATTAAACTTTCTGCATATTTGTCTCACTATTTTTATATGTGTTAAGGCAGCACAATAGGTCAGGATCGGAATTTGATTATGGATGTCAGCAACAAAGGATGAACTTAGTCATAGTTGTTGCTGACCTGAAACATTGCTGCAGACTTCAATTCACAAATATAAGGCAGCAGTAGGGAGTAACACTTTTATTCAGTAATTTGACTTTTGGACGGTTGACAGCAGATCAAGAATGCCAGTCACATGTTAACATAGTCACAGCCATTAAAAATCATTAAAGTTCAAATCTGTTAACAAATTTTGATAACCTGATTTTGTGCCAGTAAACCTACTGTCAGATCAGATAATGCCTACATTCCTGCAGACATCGTCAATGGTGTGCTGCACGATCTAGTTAACTTAACAGGAATGCAATCATGTATCCACACCTGATTCAGATCATATTAGTACTGCTGAGGGATTCACTAGTAACAGCTGCAGACCCTTGACCTGAAAAACAACCAAGCTGGCAGGAAAGGAAGCAGAAAAAGCTAAAGACAGAAAGCAGATATGCTATTTATATATTCACAAAGTTATTCTTGCGACAATAAACTCAAGTTTTGCTAAGCTGTCAGCATTTGCGACAAAAGCATGCAGTCCACAGGAAAGTAATTCTGTTTGTAAATGTTTCCAAGGGAGAATCTCCCGAGTATTTTCCTCAACAACTATACTTTCAATAGGAGCAGAAATCACCAGTGTCTATCAAGAAATTAAAATAACAGAAAAAACAACAGATGAATAAAAGCATCACCTTTCAAATTCCACAAAGTATCATAAGACTGAAACGTAAGTCTGCATGGTTGACCTCCTGCTGGCTACCTTTCAAGACTGGATGATGTTACATAATGTGAACAGTAATATCTGTGCTAGTAACAGAAAATCAGCTTACTGTGCCTGTATTTAAAGTTGGTTAGTATATACTCTCTGCAACACTCTAAGCCAAAGCTACAACTGCTTTGACTCTATGTCATATGTGTAGGATCATATGTGTACCATCAGCTAAATATTCAGAGGTGTCAAGGACCAATGCTGAACTTACTTTCATATTTAAGAAAATGTCACGAATAATAACAGACATCAAGCTAGTTAACATGGCATTACATTAAAAATTACAGATTAAATAGTAAATCTACAAACCTGTGCAAAGGCAGCGAAAATTCTCACATGTCTTTGGACACACATCTGAAAACAATTCAAAGACCACTCTTCCAGCTAGAAAAATAAAAAACCACCATATTTATTGTGAAGTTAAATGGTATTTTTATTATTCCTATACATATCTCATATGAATATCATGCTACTGAATTGATACTTTAATTTTCTTACCGGGTACATTGTTGATGGCTATGTCAAAAAAGCAACGAGGCCTCTGGACCTTTACTCCCATGGCTTCTGAACTCTAATTACTGTAAGCAATAAAAATAAAATTCAGTTTTTCCTTCTGTGTACTGAAATCATGTGTAAGTCAATACAGGTGTAAGTCAATACAAAAGTCAATAAAAACTGCAGAAAAGCAAACAAAAAACCCCAGACAGCAAACCTTAGCATTTTTTGAAGTTCAAAAAACACCAAGTACTTTAGGTCATTTTTAAGTGTTGTAGCCCCAAATGACTGATTTTCTTCACGTTTGCTGCAATAACATTAAATTTAAACTTGAGTGCCATACTTCAGGTGGGGAAATACAAAAGGAAAAGATACTGTGAGATATGGGCAAGACTTTAGAATTCAATTTTCAAATTTCAAAATTCAGTATTTCCTGGACTCCTGTCATGGCAGTTACCAGGCACTGCTCCAATTAGGATTCAAACCATTCTTGACAAAAATAATAGAAAGGTGTAGCTGTTCCACAACTGCTGCTAAGTGAAATTATTCTGGTTTTTCATTGCCTCTTTTCCTTTTATGTCATTCTTTATCTCTTGGGACACCACCACTGGTATCATTCAGAAGACCTATAGATGCATAGTGCTGCTTAAGGACATGGTTTGGTTGTAGACTTGGTACTGTTAGATTTACTATTGGACTTAATGGTCTTAGAGGAGTTTTTCCAGCCTAAATGATTCTATGATTCCTTATAGAGAATTTTAAAGCAACTTTTGCCTTATACTATATTAATCCTTTTGTTTTTGTGTAACAAGCTATGTCTTAATTCCTTTTGCCCCTCCAACATTCCAACATTATGTACAAACATATTCTTTTTCTTTTCTAAATCCCTATCTTCTCTGAGTTACTTCAGACTTGGAAAAAAAACCCCAAACACTGACAGCAAAAGGATCTGTAAGACAGGAGTATCTTCTCCAGAATCTGGAATACAATCCATACATTTTCAGTCCTAATTATTTTTATTGCCAGAAATCATGGCTCAAATCTAGCTGACATACTGCACATATCTCTCCTAAAGCTTCACTCATAGCTGCACCACAGAACATCCTTGAAAAATTCAATTGTCACCATCTGTCACTCTCAGCATATGACCAAGAGGCTGTAAAAAACCAAGACAGCAGCGTAATCATGTTAGCCTATATTCTCTCTACTTGTGCTGTCACTCCTAACATTTTACTGAGATTACACAGCAAAAATCACAGGAACCATGCAGGACTGGTTTAAATTAAACACCACTCAGCAGTTCATTATTCATGAGACTTTTAGCATGAGAAGATTTTAAAAAAAAATGCACAATCTCACTAGATATTCTCTAGGTGTGTAACAAATACATTCATACACACAAGCCAGATCCTGGTCCAAAGCAGCAGGTTTACCTCAGTCTTCTTGAATTGAATTAGCATTTCCCTCCTATTTAGTACAACCAATTTTGTAGCCAGCAGAGAAACAGAGAGGATGCTCACAGCTGAAAACTCCGATGCCATCAGGTTAGCAGGAGGCTGCCCAGGTCACCGCCCCGCTGCACAGGAGCAGTGCAAGGAAGGCAGGGTGTGGCCAAGGGAGGGGATGAGATGGGAGGGTGTGGACAGGCTGCTTTCAGAACTGACACCAGCCAAAGCACAGCCACCCACTGTCAGGGGCAGAACAGACTACACAGCTGCACGGGGTACTTCTTTCAATGAAACCTTTCACAAGGAATGCTGTAATAAATATTGTTGGGTGGTAGGACTGCCAGTTTTAACTGAACTGAGACGTCTAAGGATCATCAGTACCACAACTGATTGGCTGCTGTACTCAAACTTCAAGCATTTAATTCTAATGCTTAAGTGAGAAGGAATTTCCTGCTTTACAAGCAGTTTGCTTGAGAAATGTAGAGGTATGCCTTAACATTTATATACAGTATTTTAGCCAAAATAAATGGCAACTATCTTAATACGTGACACGTGAAATAATTAATATATGACATGTCAAATAATACGTGAAATAACTTTTATTTCAAACACTGATAATAACTAAAGCTACGCTGTGAAACAAATATAAATATATCTATGTCAGTCAATTTTTAACTCTTTTTATAAACTGTTTTGTAGGCAAGGGGAGAGAGAAATCAGAAATAAAGACTTCTACCCAACTCCCTATCACTATCAAGTTTTCTCAATTTGATGTTTTTCTACTTTTACATTGTTTCATGAACAGGGGAACAAAGTTAGTCCATATTCTAACCATTACCTTCAGTGTACCCTGCACCTTCCCTAAATCCTCCAATAATATCCCCTAAACACCAGCTGCACCAGATTCTAAAAGACAGGTATGGCAAGGGGTCAGTATGACCGCCCTGAACAGACACCAGGCCAAGCAAATGTATGTCACTCTCAAGCTCATGGTGCCCAGAAAACCAGGCTAAGACATCAGCGACATTTATCCTACCTACCTCGCAAATCAAGTGAGCGTTTCTTCTCCAATATACTTAAGTATCCTTTGCACTGTTATTTCAGCCAGACCTTTTCCTGATGTGCTACAGGGCAAAGTACCAAGTTACAAATGGTCCTTAAAAATAGTAATTTCTATTCATGTAGTAACACCAAACACAATCTTCTACATAGTGATCGTTTAAAACCTGTCCGTATCAAAAGCAAGTACAAGGGGTCTGAATGTTAAACACAAAATCAGCAAAGAAAATGACCAAAAATATGCCAAGAAAAAAAGTCAGAAAATATCAACAATTAAGTCAGAAAATAACAGACTCAGTAGCACTACATGTCTGATAACAATAAGGCTTAAATGATTTCTGCTATTTCTCTCTCAAAATTTCTTTTCAGTTAGAACATGGATATTCTTAACCCTCAATACCCTGCATTTTTTAATTGTGAACTTGATGGAATTTCACTAGTGAAAGGAATATGAATTTGATGTCAACCCTAAAGATGCTTACTATACAGACATTCAAAAAATGTGCTATGCAGGACAATCTTGGTAAGTCAGTTCACTTTTTCCTTCCAAAACTCTACGAAAGGACAAAATATCAGCCCAAGTACTACTCTGAAATTTTCAAATTATACATCATTCTCAACCACCTTCTGTTTGAAGAGGCTCTTACTAAGTCTAAGTAGAACCTACAACCAAAAAAAACCCCACACCCAACCAAGCACCTAGAACATCACTTCAGCATATCTAAAAAAAGGGCTTCTTTCTTTTATATCTGAAAGTAGAATTACAGCTCAGCTTAGAGCATATTGGTATTTGTTGACAAATACACCAGAAGTACTCAGTCTTGCCAGAACAGCTGCACCCACAACCAACACTTCAACTGTGTCCCTCAGGGTTTACATTACTTCACACCTCCATCACTCATTATTTTGTTTAAATATTTGCAGGATAAAACTGGCCAGATCAAGGCCAGGCTGCCAGTAGTTCTATTCCTCCAAAATGATCCGTGCCAACGGGAAAAGATAACTACCCCAAACTGTTCACAAGCATCTTTCCACCAGGGATTACCACTGATATTTGCTGATGTGTTTAAAAAACACATCTTGTGGAATTTTATTTCCAAAATCACCTGTGCTAGCGGGGACCTGGTAATAATACTTTTTAACAAGTACTAGAGCCTTTTGACTGAACAGGCTAGAAAGCACTCACAGATGCACATCAACTGAGTATCAGCATGTCATGCATCCCAAAGAAAGTGACAGCAACCAGCAATACAGCAGTATTTCCTTGTTTTATAGCAGGGAGAAGTTAAAAAGTTCCTTTATAACTGTGTTGAACTACTGATTTGTTTCAGTCCCAGTACAGGACAGAATAGTAAGCAAAGACATACTTAGCAGGAAAAAGATACACTGTGTCCTATTCCTTCACTTGCTTCCCTGTCATCAACAATTCTTCCAGATTTTTCATTCTTCCTTTACCTTGCCTTTGAATGTGCTTCCTTCATCAACTTACAATTACCTGCACTGATCTTCATTCAATGCCCAAACAATGCAAACAGTAAAGTACATAAATTCATATTCCTAGCATTTAGCTTCACACCATCTAAAGGCAGCAAGACTAAACTACATTGATACATATTTAAAAGACAGGCATGCAAAATCTCCAGAAATGTATTTTAAAGCAAAACTTTGCATTCAGAAAATGGAAATGCACAAAGTGAACACAGAACATATATTCCTTAAGGCTGTGGCTGCACTCACTTGAAAACAATATAAATGTGGGCTGATACTACAATAGAGGGTTCCTACACCCTCTATTTTAGCTTGCAGACAAGTGGGTACCTGGCTGCATAAAAACCACCCTTTCCTCCTCCCTCCACAGAATGATACAGCAGCAGCACATATCAGCCAAAAGTGATGGCAGAGGCACAGACTAAAAATATTACAAGTTCTTTCCAGTATGGATTAAACTAGAAGTAAATTTACGATTTTGAACTGGGAGACATGAAAATTTTTTATAGATCCATTCCTGTAACAGAGCTTGCAGCTGTGTGAGCATGATACCAAAAATGTGAACAACAAAAACCTTAACAGATCAACCCTCTATCTCCATAATTTCCTTAGCATTTTTCCCTAAACACCACCACCTTTTCCTCTGTACTTCATGATCTCAAAACTGAATTAGCAGCAACGACACTCACTGACTCTCTTCCAAATGGAAGCTGGCTCCTAAATTACCATTGCATTGAACTGGTAGTGGAGAAATTATGCAGCAACACAGTAAAATCCTCCACTCCATTACATATTCTTCACTCTAAATTCCCCCATAATCCCCAGATTTTCTGAGATCCTATGAGGAAAAAAACCCAAATCTTCTCTTGATAGCAGCTTGATGACTGCTAGCTAATTAAAGCAATAATGTTTGTTTCACAGAAGAGGGCTGAAAGAATGGGAAGTCTTAATGAGAAATGTAGTCCCAAAGGGTGCTCTCAGAGAACTACTGAAGCTGCTATCCTTTTTATGCTACCCTTCAGATCTACTGCACCTACAGGAAACTACATTACTTGTGAAATATTTATAAATAATTTTTACAAATGGATAAATAAAGCTCTGTGAGTTTAGACAAACTAATGCTTCATAAATCATGTCTAACCTACAAACTGTTACCATATTTTTATCATGACAGCACCTGAAAATCTGAGCAATGCTGGACCCCAATGCAATGGGAATAGTGAAACAAAATGGCAGGAAGAAGCTTTAAAAAAACCCAACAACATAAAACCACACCAAAAAAAACCCCAAAAAACCACCTACTAGTATCCTTGTCCAAAGAACAGCCTCTTCTGCTGACAATATAGAAAAAACTATGAAACTTCCAAAATATTCTCTCAGAAAAAATACATCTTAGAAAACAGACTATATGCAAGATAATATTCTGATGCTTCTCTTAAATCAGGTCTTAGATGACTACTACATATAATTAACTTATCCAGTCAAACATTAGGAAACTACTGGCCAAAATGACTTTATCATTATTTATAAATTTTCTAATTGTGACTGAACTTAAAGGCAATGTTTAGCACTACAACAGATATTCTGTCCACAGTTTCAGTGAGCTATTTCTCTTAAGTCTCCCAAAGCCTCTTCAAGGCCTCAAAGAACAGCCATATATACGCAGTACTTCTAGTTTGGTCATGGCTGCAAACAGAATAAGCCTGAAACTCAATACTCATAGAAATCTTTGGAACGCCTGAAGAAATCCCTAAAAGAGGGACAGAGGAGTCTCCTGCCAGACATGGTAGCTCCTACAGGCTCCACTTTCCTAGGAGAGGCCTGCAGAGGGGAGAACATGTGGCACGCAGACAGCCCCGCTCCTTCCTCTTCTAGGGGAGGAGGGAAGACTCATTCAAACTCCCCAGCCAGCACCCGAGCAGGGCGCTCGCTGTGGGCACAGACCCGCGGCTAGCCAGGCTGCGGAGGCACGGCCGGCCCGGCAGACCCGACCCCCGGCGCGATGCGCGCCAGGCCCCGTGCGCCGCTTCACCCACCCCTGCCGCTCCCGCCCGCCTCGGGCCGCACTCGCAGCTCCTCGCACCCCTTCCCTCCCAGGGGCCGCCCTCACCCGGGATGCGCCGGGCGCCGCGGTCTGCCTGCCCCGCGCACACGGGCGGCCGGGCCTTGCCAGGGGCGTGTGCGGGGAGGCAGCGCGGGCGGCCGCCCCAGGCCCGCTCCGAAGCGGCGGTCGGGAGGGGCCGGAGCTCCTACCCGCACCGTGACCGAGGCTCAGGCCCCGCGGAGCTGCGACCTCCTCCTCCACCGTCCGCCCAGCCCGAGGCGCGGCCCGGGCGACGGCCCTCACTCGGCCGCGCCGGCGCCCGGCGCTGCCCGGCGGCGCGGCCGGCACTCACCCGCTGGCGGCCCGTGAAGCCCCGCGCTGCTCAGCGCCGCGCTGCCGCCATGTTGGAGCTGGTGCGGCACGGACTGCGTCAGTGGCGGACAGGGCGGGAGCGGCGACCCGGGGGCGGCGCGCCGGGGGCGGGCGGGGGAGCGTGGCGGCGGGAGCGGCGCTTCCCCGGCCCGGGCACGGTGCGAGGGGTCGCGAGCACCGACACAGCCCAGCCCGGCGGCGTGGGCCGCTCGCGAGGAGCCCGAGCGACTGGGGGAGGGGCTCCCGCCTCCTCGGGCTCGTCAGCGGCGCTCCGCCCCTGCCGCGGCCCCGCGCCCCTGGCCCGAGCGGGCGCGGCGCGGGAAGGAGCCGGGGAGGCTGGAGCGCCGCAGGTACACGGGCCCTTTCTAGCCAAAAGTCTCGAGAACAGTGCTGGTCTTCCCCGCCGATGAGCCCGCGAAAAGGCCAAGGGTTGGTAAATGAACCGTCCTGCATGGTGCTGGAAGCGCACAGGGCTCCTCCAGCAGTACACCTCGCCGGGGCTTGTAAAGAATTGAAACGGGAATTTAGGCCAACTGTGCAAAAAATGAGCAACTGATAACAGTATCCCGTATGTGTGTATTGCAATTCAAAGTTAATGTATCTAAAAATTAAGGAATGAAAGTTTATGACAATGCCTAAAGTTGTGAGCACCTTGTAAATTAACGGAGACTGGCACTGAAGTACGTACCTCCTTTGATGGGTTTTAATTCAAACCAGTAGGCATTTGGGTCAGTAATCACATACATAATGGGAAGTAATGGAAGTTAGGTGACTGGCTGATGGGAAGTTTTTTAGAAGTAGAAAACCCAATGACCTCCTTATGGGTTTCTGGCAAAAAAAAAAAAAAAAAACAAACCAAGAAAACCAATGTAAAATGTGAAACTGACACCTGTGAGTTCTGAAATCCTGAAGAAGCTGATGGGTGAACACCTGTTCAGTAAATGGCTTCAGCACAGCATGCTTTGTTAAATCTTGTTTTTCTCCCCTAGGTTTTCAATTTAAAATTTAACATCATTTTATCTAGCATTTTAAATTTGGTTTAGGCATTGTTTTATTTTATCCAAATGTACTTCACAAGTCAAAAGTGAAAAGTTCAGCATCTTGTAAATGAAAAATCTGTATGATTTACAGAAGTCTCCTTTATATGAACATGGAATTGTTTTCTGCTACAGTTTTCTTCTCAGATGCCTTGGAATTGTTATGTGAGTTTGCACAAGGCCTGACATTCTGGAAAGAGGGACTTTATGTGCCACCCTTTGAGCTTACCTGACAGGGTTTGGGGTTACTTGCATGCCTGTGTAAACGGGAAGTGGGGCAATCTGGAATTTGTTTACACGACGATACAGAATCTGTCCAAGTTATAAATTCCACTATTATGAAAATTGTAACTAATCCAGTTTAAAAAAATTACATGCTCTTTTTCTAAAATACCACATACCTGTGATAAATAATTTAGGGTCTATTCTATTTGTTTGAGTGAGTTCCTTATTCATAGACATCCAGTATATTAGGAGATGACGGAAAAAAACTAAAAAACCCGGAACATTTGGTAGACAGCTGCCATACAGCTGGTCAGAACTGGTCATAGTCATAGTTCTAATTCAGTTTTTTGGATAGAATACAGAGCAATCTGAGATTCTTATCATTCTTTCTAAATGTCTTTGCTGCTATCAATGATGGTGAGAAAGGGTCCAGGAAGATGACCTGGAGATGTGTATATTCCGCATAAGCAGCATACTTGTTGCAATATATGTTAGATTTGTCTCCCAAAACTCATTCATTTTAAATTTATTGTTGTTGCAAAGCATTAAAAAATGGTAAAATAAAATAACATTAAGTGCAGTACAACAAAGCCTGGCTCTTCAACTTTACCCTTCCGAACTTCAGTGCCTTTTTGCTTTTCCTAGGCAGGGAAGACTTCCCCCCCCCCCCTTGAGAATGAATTATAAAAACGTTGCTTTATTTAATATGCAGTAGTCAGTATGAACCTTGGACCTTTTTAATTATTATTTTTATTTCCTTTGGAAAGTCTTAACTGGCTGGACTTTTCCCTTTCCCCCTTCGCTTCCCGGCAGCTCCCGGGAAATGCCGTGCCTCGGCGCATGCGCGCGGTGAATGGCGGTGCCGGGGCACGTGGGTGCCGGGCTGCAGCCGCCGCCTTTGCGGGGAGCGGTGTGCGGCTGTGCCTCGAAAGCAGGAAGGCTGCTGTGCAAAGGTAAACCGAGAGCTTCTCCTCGCGTCCGCTCCTGCGGAACTGGCACTGGCTCCTTTGCTTGCTCGTTTAACCCCGCCGGCTGGTGGAGTTTACCGCGTGACGAGCCCTCGCTGAAGCCAGCGCCGGCAGCCGCAGCCGCCCCGTGCCGCGCGGCAGCTGGGCCGTGCCCGCCCTCCCGGTGCCTCCCGGCCTCCCGGTGCCTCCCGGCTTCCCGCTGCCTGCCGCCCGCCCGGTGCCTGGGGCGCGCAGGGAGCGCCCCTCAGCGGTGCCCGCGCCCCCGGAGGCGGGAATGGAGTCTGGCGGCGCGGGTCGCGCCCCTCCAGCGGCGGCTCGGCCGCTTGCCACGCTCTCTCTGGGACCCTCTGGGGCAGCATTCCCCGGTGACGGAGCAGGCGGCGCGCCGGTGGCAGCGGGCGGGCTCTCCGGGCTCGCCGGCGGTGCGGCGCTGGCGCCCGTAGCTGGGGACAGCGGTGTTGTACTGCCCGCGGCTGGGCTCACGGGAACTGGGGCGAGCCGGTGCCCGTACTGCACAAGCAGCTCTCTTAAGGCTTAGCTACTTAAATCTCTGGTAGTTCTTGGGGAGTGGTGAGTGTCCACATTTTCTCCTTTTTGGGAGATTTCCTGGCTCGCTGTGTTTTGTAATACAGGCTTGAAAGTGCTTATTGCGTTTCAACCGATAGAAAATAATTTTAAAGACCTTCTTGTCCTTCTAGTGTGTGTTTTGCGTAGTAAGTAGGACATCTTAGAAATAGTTCTTTAAGTAGATCCAAATTTCTCGGTTTACTCTATGTAATTGGATGTTTGAAAACACCCAATGTTTTCTATTGATGAACTTCTTAAAAGATACTGTGGAGTTTACTATGATTTAAAATGGTATAAAAGTTTGTGGTAAATCACTTGCTCAATGGAATAGAGAAATATTTTGAAGCTTCCTGCAAGCTGTTTTAGATAGAGATCCTGGTTCCCCATCAATCGGATATGCAAGGTCCTTTGCAGCACAAGAAGGGAAAGGATGTGTCATGTGGATTTACAGGATACTGAGTCTGAATGTTTTTATATTTTCTTCAGGTATCTACTTTATCCTGACTTCTTGCAGCTTAGCTTGCCACTACTGTAGGAAGTAAATTCTTTCTAAAGGCATCTACCATATGAAAAAAATAAAAGCAATATCTGAAAAGGGACTATAAAGCAATTCATTATTATAAAAAGTACTTAATACATACTATTTTAAAAAAGTTATCCCTTTTTTTGGTATTTTTTCATTTTGAATAGGAAAGAAGGGATTTCTTATTATAGCAGATCATAAATTGAAATTACTTCATTTTAGCCTTGCTTGTATCTGCCCCGGTGTCAGTGACAGCAGTGTAGTACAATATGCTATATAGCTTTTTGTTCTAAGAAGAGGATTGTACAGATGTCAGAGGAATCCACCTATATCCATTTTTCTGGAATGATTTCAGTACCTTGCACAGGCTGCACAAATAAGGTTTTTTCTTCCTCAACAGATCTAGTGGGTACTGCTGCCATCGCCTTGATAATGTTGCACTGATGGAATCACGCCTACAGTTGAAGAGCATTCAAGTTTGCTGAAGGTATTGATAATTTTAGTTGTTAATGTTATATCTTCTGAAGCAAGACTTCTAGACTTTTCCATGATCTCTGTGTTGAGGGAATTTGATGAGGGTTCTTCGGTGTACTAAGGCTTTTATCACTAGTGGTTTGTCTACTGCAGCTTGGAATCAGTTGTGTAGGTTGTAGAATATGTAGTTGATAGCACTCTGTACAAATAGGGGTATATTCTAAGAAAACGAACGCTTATTAAATTTCATTAGATAAGGCTGTAGCTTCTATTATAATTTGGAATCAGGTTGCTTTTCTTTAGTGCAATGGCAGTTTCAGCTGATGGTGTGTGATTGATCAGTATCTAGTCGAGAAGGTGATCAACCTTCTCGACTAGAAGCCATCTCACTTCATTTTACGACCAATAGTTGTATTTTCTGGCAGTTCTGGACCTCAGTTTGGGATTATGGCCTAGTGAAAACAAGCCTCACTTAGTAATGCAGTACTGGCTTGTTAAAATCTTCAGCTTTTCCTTCTCAGTAGTAGCATTGATATGACCTTTTAAAGGCAGTTCTCTAAATTTGAAAACTTACCAAGTGGACTAACTTTGTAGTACTTGTGAGCATGTTAGTGTTTGTTGTTGGGAGCTTTTCTATGAGAAGAGTCCAGGCTGTAGGTTCTTAAGTTTACCTTACTTAGAACATCATAATGTAGAGACACTGATTTTTACTTGGTTGTTGTGACTGAATTTAAGTGCTTTTTCATTTCAGGTTCCTCAGAATTGACTTCTTAATACAGTGACCGTAGAGGATCAAAGAAAAATGGTGTTCTGTTTTTCAAATATTTGAGTTTGTTGTCTGTAACAGCATGGTTTTCTGTGAAAAGTGAAAGAAGAGTCTTTCTGGACGGTTTAAAGCTAGCTGGTAGGCAAAGCAAAATGCTTTGTTTGAGGCAGGTTTGCTTGTTCACACTGAGACGTTACCAAGCTCGGACTCTGTGTAGCGATCTGCTTTTGAGCCAGATAAATGACTGCACCCATGAAGATGAAGTGTTCAGCCTTGTTGGAAGGAACAAGGCCAGACTTTCTGAAAAGCATGTGGGAATTGCATTGAACGTGCTGTGGCAATTGCAAAAGAAGAGGCCCTTTCTCTTAAGGACTAGTGACTACGTAAGAAATCACTCCCAGTTTCTTACCCTTTGCGTTTTGGCAGAAAACAAGGTGGAACACATGGAAGATGAGGTGATAGTGGACACCTTATATAGCATCCTGAGGTAAAGAGCATGAAATACATTTTGTATTTGGTAAAAAAAAGAGAAGGAATTTTGACTACAGAGCTATCTCATAAGGAGACTGTGATGAGACTGCCCTGTACTCTTGACTGTGTGACTCAGACAACATAATGTCCTGTGCC